TCGCGGGCGGGATTCGGGGCGGGGTGTGTGTGTGGAACCCTTGTAATACCCTCATATATACTCCTTATCCTTACCTCTCCCGCACCTGGCCGTTTGGGCTCAGGTACTGAGTTGGAGCGATCGTACCTTGATCGCTTGGGAGGGAAAGATATCCATCTATCCCTCCATCTCTCTACCAACGGATCAGGGGTTCTGTACTCTTGTACTTCAACCCCATACACAGGGGAAAACCGCATCGGGTTCACTGCGCATGTTTTGAATGTGGAAGCAGAATGTGTTTTGTATTCTTCCCAACATCCAAAGTGGGGTTCTTGTTTTCTTTGGACACCCCGCGCAGGAACCTCCTCACCAGACCCCCTCTCCTCTTCTGTCTTCGTGCGCTCACTCATTCACTCACTAGCTCACTCACTCACTCACTCAGTCAGTCACTCACTCACTCACTCACTCACTGACTCATCAGCACGCACTCACTCACACGCTCATGAACTCCATATGATGATGATGAGTGTGCGCGTGAGAGAGTGTGATGATCATCGTCATCGCCAGTCAATCAGTCCGTCAGTCACTCACTCACTCACTCGCCTTGGGCCTCGTTTGTGCGTGCATTGCGAGGACATCTCAAGCGGGAACCCCCTCCCCATGGGGCCCGCGGATCATGTTAATAATCCAAGCGGGTCATCCAATTCTTGTAACTGTCACCATTTTTGGGCTTTCGCGCTGCCAGAACGCCATTCCCTGGCTCGTCGGTGAGTGAATTTCGAGGAAGTCTCAAGCGGGAACCCCCTCCCTGTGAGGCCCGCGGATCACGTTACTAATCCGAGCGGGTCATCCAATTCCTGTAACTGTCTCCACTTTTGGGCTCTCGCGATGCGAAAACGCCACTCCCAGGCCACATTTTGAACGCCCGGAGCCAACTATAGGCCACTTCGTGTTCTTCGTGCTCCCAGAACACCACTCCCGGGCCACATTTCGAATGCCCGGAACCAACTGTAGGCCACTTCGTGTTCTTCGTGTTCCCAGAACACCACTCCCGGGCCACATTCTGAATCTCTGGAGCCAACTGTCGGCCACTTCTGGCGCGTGCCCATCATGTTCCATTTCGGCGATTTCTTGCAGCTGAAGCCCACCCGGCAACATTGGCCTCCTGACGGACGTGAGCGAGCGCCTGGACGACGACGAGTCGTACAGGTACGCGGACCCGCCGACGGTGGAGCTCCAGCACGCCATCAAGGTCATCTTTCAGATCCCCTGCGTCTTCGAGCTGAAGGGCACGAAGCGCTTCGAGCCTGGGGACCCGCTGATCACGCTCTTGGGCTGCACGCGCGAGGGCAAGCCCTTCCCACCGGAGGTCTGGTCCGCCTGGGAGAAGACGTTGGCCACGGACAACCGCGGCGTCCTGGACCCTCGGCGCCAGCACGAGAACTTTCGGCTCGGCTTCGGCATGGGCATCTATTGGGAAACGCTTGCGAGGTGGATGAACACGCGTGCTCGTCGCGACGCTCGGCGTCTGGGCGTACCCCTCGTTTTCCTGCAGGCCGTTGACGAGTGCGGCGCGATTCGGGGTGATCCCGACGCGGGTCGGCGCCTCCTGAACGTCCCGAACACGCGCAAGACGAGGGACATCCACGGCGTCTTGCCGGCCCACGTCGGCATGGAGGCGCGGTTCACGGCAGCGCAGAAAGAGCTGAAGAAGAAGTTGGGGCTCGAACAGGAGCAGCGGGCCACCGTCGTGTCTTTCGGGTTCCACCGCGAGGACGAGCAGCGGCACTAGGAGTGCTCGGCAGGCCAGCTCTTTCGCCCCCGCTTCCTACCGCAGGGAATCTGGCTGCAGGTGCACGGCTTCACGGAGTCTCCGATCTACCAGGAGGTCGCCGAGGTGCTGCGACAGGGCGCCGAAGGCGCCGACGACGGCGGCCAGGCCCAGGCGCGGGCGCGGAACTTGCTGATGTTCAGGCCCAGCGAACGGGAGTTCACATGGCAGAGCTCGGGGGCGCACGGCGCGCGCCGCTCGGGTTTCGCCATGGCGCGCGCGTCCTGCCTGGCCTCCACGCTGTCGCAGGGCCAGACGCTGCGCAGGGGCGTCACCGTCGACTGCGCGAGAGACGAGGGCGCTGGCCGCGCGGGCATGTCGGACGAGCAGTGGTGGTCGGACGTCATGCTCTCCCGCGCCACGCGCGTGCGCGACGTGCTGATCCTGCGGCCGCCGCCGCGGGAGTTCCTGGAGCGAGGGCCGCCGGCGTCCCCGCGGAAGGCGCTCCTGGAGTTCGACGAGAGAGCGGTTTTGTCCAGGGCGGAGGCGAGGCAGCTCGCGGCAGAGCTGGGCTTCGTGCTGCCCGCCTGAGCGCGGCTGCGCCCCGCTCGAAGCCCGCGGGGTTGTCCCAGCGGCTTGGTCTTGCGCCCGAGCGGCCTGCGGGGTTGCCCCGACAGCCTGGCCCGCGGGGTTGTCCCAGCGGCTGCGCGACGTGGCCATTAGAGAGCGCGCCTGTGCTGGCCGAGGCGGCGACGGCGCCGAGGGAAACCGACGTGCGCGCTCATGCAATGGAAAAGCGAGGAGGTGGCGGGGCGCGAACAAAAAACAGGGGGGCGAGGTCGGGGGCAACGTGGGGGGCGGGGGAGGGGCCCGCGCCAGGGCGAGAAGAAATATGCGCAGAAGAGACAGCCAGGACGCCTCACCAACCACGAGGACGACGGTGAGGGCTTTGTCCAGACTCGCCCAGGGGATTCCCATGTGGGGTCTTTCCGTCGAAGTATTTTTTACAAGGAATGGTGGGGGGGGCCTTCATTGTCCCGGGTTGGCTCCCAGTCGCCTGGGGGAGGGGGTGTATACTAATAGGGAACAGTGATAAACCCTTCCCCGAAGGGGAAGAAAACGGTGGAAGAAGAAACGCCCCAAACCACCTGCGCCCAGAGAGCTGGTGGGATTGTTGTAGTTGGCGGAAGAAAAGAAAGAGGAGGACCAGGGTAATCCTACTGTGTAGTAGCGATGCTGTGAAATTCACCCTCCCGTTTCAAGTCCCTCCTTCACTTGTCCCTGCAAGTCTTCTTGTTCATTGCGCTAGCCCCCCCGTTGGAAAGACCAGCGCCCGTGAGCCCGCCATGTTCTTCTGGTGCTTCTAGTCATAACATCAGACGAAGTTTCAGGCGAGAGCCCTTGAAAAGGCATCGCTCTTCATCGGTGTGCCTGCTACACAACGTCGCACGTTCTTTCAGACATTTGAGGAAGTCTCAGTCGTCAGCCCAATTTCGCAAACGTGCCAGCATTTATCTGTAATTGTTGGAGGCTTGTAAGGAGAGTGTGTCTGGAGCCAAGACAAGAGCCACGTTTCGCAAGAGTACCGATGCGAGTGAACGTTGGAAGATTATAAATTAACGTGCGCTGCGCCAAAGCGATAGACACGGCTTGAAAAATTAACGCTCTCCATCCATGTAACTGGTGGACATTTCAAGCGTCGGGGTAGTAGCTTGTTGTACAGTCTCCAGCGGAACGTTCGCCCTGGCCCACGGACACGTCGGATGGTGTGTCACGGACTTGGATGCAGGAGTAGACGAAAGAGGATATCCAGGCCGAGGGGGACAAGGAACGAAAGGATTGACTAAAACGTAATGGAGGAGGGGGAAGAGGAGGAGGAAGAAGAGGAGGATGAGGAGGAGGGGGGGGAGGAGGAGGCGGAGGAGGAAGAGGAGGAGGACAGAGAAAAGGGAGAGGAGGAGGAGGCAGGAGGAGGAGGAGGAGGAGGGAGGAGGAGGAGGAGGAGGAGGAGGGGAGGAGGGGGAGGAGGAGGAGGAAGGAGGAGGAGGAGGAGAGGAGGAGGAGGAGGAGAGGAGGAGGAGGAGGGGAGGAGGAGGGGAGGAGGAGGAGGAGGAGGAGGAGGAGGAGGAGGAGGAGGAGGAGGAGGAGGAGGAGGAAGAGGCGGAGGCGGAGGAGGAGGAGGAGGAGAGGAGGAGGAGGAGGAAGGAGGAGGCGGAGGAGGAGGAGGGAGGAGGAGGGAGGAGAGGAAAAAGGAGGAGGTAGGAGGAGGAGGAGGAGGAGCGAGGACGGAAGAGGAGGAGGAGGAGGAGGAGGCCGGGAGAGGAGGCGGAGGAGGAGGGAGGCGCGGAGGAGGAGGCGGAGGAGGAGGCGCCCGGGAGGAGGAGGAGGAGGAGGAGGAGGAGGAGGAGGAGGAAAAGGAGGAGGAGGATGAGGAGGAGGAAAAGGAGGAGGAGGACGAGGAAAAGGAGGAGGAGGAGGCCGAGGAGGCGTCAGCAGCAGCAGCAGCAACTTAGGTTTCGGCGGGCCCCGCCGGCCACTCGTGCGGGCGGCTGGGCGCGTCGCTTGCTGCGCGTGGCGGCCGACGCCGCTCTGCAGTCTGGGCGGGTGCCGGCGGCCGCGCCCAGGGCCCGTTGCGCGCCCTTGGGCCGTGCCCTTGGACTGGCCGTCTCATGGAAAGCGTTTGCAGGCTTACGTTCTGGCGCACTTTTCGGTCGTCGCGGGTGGGCGACTCGCCACACAAGCAGACGCGCCGCACAAGCCCGGGGCCCGCGCGCGCGTCAAGTCGTCAAACGAAGAGCAAAAGCTACATGCTCTGAGCGTGTCGGCCGCCCGCGGCCTCCCCCCCCCCATACCCACGCCTTTCTCTTCTTGTTGTGCTTACTTAGGCCCCGCAGTGCCCCTTGGCTGCTTTCGACCGCGGCGTGGATCGGTGCCGCTGCGACCAAAAAGTTAATGGAAGGCGCTCTCCCCCAGCTGCCGTTCGCTTGCTCAGCACTTTCGTGGGGAGCCGAGCCGAACCCCCGTGCACTCTCCCCCCTTCCTCCACCTCCCCTCTCCCACCTCCCCTTCCCATCCCCCATCTCCCCCCCCACCTCCCTTTTCGTATCCCCCATCCCCCCGCCTCCTCCCCCCTCCACTCTGATCTCCCCCCTCCCCGTCTCCCCCCTCCCCCCTCCCCTTGCCCTCTCTCTTTGCCCTCTCTTTCCCTCTCTCCTCCCCCTTCTCCTTCTCCCCCCTTCCTTGCTTCTGGCGAGGCGGCCGCCGCGCTGCGCGCGGGGGGCGCGCCCCCGCCCCGTCCGCGCGCGGATGCCATTTGCGGCGGCAGAGCACCTGGCGGGGTGGCTCGGCGGGGCCACAGTGTTCGCAGAGCTCCCTGGCCACGGGCACGAGCTCGACTCGCAGGCGCGACCGGATGCGCACTGGGGGCTGTCAGACCGTCGTCGTCATCGTCGTCGTCGTCTCTACCGTGCGCAGGGCCTCGTTTGGGTCTGTGTAAGACCGCGCTGCTCTGGACCGCCACAGGCTCACAGAAGTAACAAGAGCTGTGCAGTTCGCACTACCCTAGAAACGAGGCCACTTTTGGGTCCGCGAAAGGCTGTACTCAGCTGGGCCCTACACAATCTCGCGAACTTTATCGCACTCCGTGGACACCCCCAGAGAACCCACGGAGGTGACGACAGTCGCGCAGTTGGGACCACCCGCGGAAGTGAGGTCAAGCTTGGGTCTGGGTAAGACCGCACTTCGCGCAAGTGGCAGCAGTGCCGCATTCGGCACCACCCAGGGAGGCAAGGTCGAGTTGGAATCTGCGTACAGGGGCAATGCGGTGGACAAGTCTACAGTTGGCGCCATCCATGGGGGCGAGACCGCGCGCCGCGGGACCCCACAAACCCACGAAAGTGGCAACCGTTGCGAACCGGGCGCCACCCATGGAGGCGAAGTTAAGTTCGGGTGTGGGCAAGACAGCATCCTGCTGCACCCCCACAAGCTCACGAAAGTGGCGGGAGTTGCGCAGTTGGCACCACTCACGGAGGCGAGGTCAAGTTTGGGTGCGGCGGCAATTGCGCACTTGGCACCATCTATGGAGGCGAGGTCTCGTTTGGGTCTGCGAAATACTGCGCTACGCTGATCCCCCCACGAGCTCCCAAAAGCGGCGCCAGTTGCACAGTTCGCACCACCCAAAGAGTCGAGATCTAGTTTGGGTTTGGGTGGAACTGCCCTTCAGGAGCGTGACGACATACGCGCAGTTGGCGCAACCCAGGGAAGCGAGGTCCAGACTTGGTCTGCGTAAGGCCGCACTCCGTTGATCCCCACAAGCTCACGACTGCGGCGACAGTTGTACCGCTAGCGCCACCCATTGAGACGAGGTGAAGTTTTGGCCTCCGCGAAACCGCGCACTCACGAGCTCACGAAAGCGGCGAGAGTTGCGCAGTTTGCAGCAGTTGACAGCGCTCATGAGGCGATGTTCGGATGCAGGTTGGAGGTACAAGGTAATTAGGAGGCATGATGTACGATAGGAGGCGTGAGGAGGGGGAGGAGAGAAGGCGGGAGGAGAGTAAGGATAATGATGGCGGCAGTTGCGCGGCTGGCATCACCTGGGGTTGGGACGCGAGAAAGGGAAACGAGAAACGAACAGTAACCGAAGGGGAAGCGAATCAACGGCGAGAAATGAGGGAACCGAAGGAGGGGAGGGGGCGGGGCGGGACGGAAAGGAGGAGGAGGAGGAGGAGGAGGAGGAGGAGGGGGAGGGGGAGGAAGAGGAGGAAATGGAGGGGGAAATGGAGGGGGAGGAGGAGGAGGAGGAGGAGGAGGAGGAGGAGGAGGAGGAGGAGGAGGAGGAGGAGGAGGAGGAGGAGGAGCAACGAGTGCTTTATCCCAATCGAAGACCGACCAGACGGGGACCGAGAACAAGCACAAGCCCTACTTCTGCTTCGCCTGTTCCTGCAGCCCCTCCCCCTCCTGCTCCTGCCGCTGCTCCTGCCGCTGCTCCTCCAAGCGTGAGACGGGGCATGCCGTGGCGCGCCGAGGGCACCTTGGAGGCGAGCGCAGCGCTCCCGCAGGCAGGCGGTCTCGTGAGCTGCCGCGAGACGGACCCGCCCTGTGGCTGCGGGGGGGGGCCGGGGTTCCTGCGTCCCCGCGGCCTCCCTGGCTGCCGTGCGGTCGAGTTTGGATCCGGACTCTGGTATCCAGATATTCTGGGTTTCCTTTCTGTCGCTTTTGATTTTTTTTTTTTTTTTTTTTTTTTTTTTATTTTTCTTTTTTTATTTTTTTTTTTTTTTTTTTCTTTTTTGATTGATTTTTTCTTATTTTTTTTTTTTTTTTTCGTACTTTTTTTTTATTTTTAATTTTATTGTTGTTTGTTTTTTTTTCCTTTATTTTAATTATTTTTCTCTATTTTTTTTTTGTTCTTCTTTTTTCTTGTGTTATCCCCCCACTTTTCCTATTTACTTGTTTTTTTTATACCTTTTTCTTTTTATTATTGTTCATTTTTTCATTTTTGTTTTTTTTTTCCGTCTTATTTATACATTTTTACTTTTATTTATTTTTTTTTATTTGTATCATTGTTTATGTTGTTTATACTTTTTCTCTTTATTTTTTTTGTTTTATTTTTTCTTCTTTATTATCTAATTTTTTTTTATTTTATTTTTCTTATTTTATGTTTCACTTTTTCCTTTTCTTTCTTTTTTTTTCTTTTTTTTATTTTTGTTTTGTTTTCTCCTTGATTTTTTTTTTTTTTTTTTTTTTTTTGTATCCATTTTTATTGTTTAATTTCTTTTTATCCTTATTCTTTTCTTCGTCTTCTTTTTCGTTTTGTTTTTTTGTTAATTTTTTTTTTATTTTTTTTTTGTTTTTGTTATACTTTTAACATCATTCTTAGTTTTTTATTTTTGTTTCTTTGATTTTATTTTTTCATTTGTTATTTTTTTTTTTTTTTTTTTTTTTTTGTATTCTTGGTTTATTGTTCTTTTATTGTTTTTTTTTTTATTTTTTTATAACTATTTGAGAATTTCTTCTTTATTATTTTTTTTTTGTTATTTGGTCTATGTCGTTTCTTTTTTTGTCTTTCTTTTTTTTTTTTAGTCTCTCCCAGCTCCAGCTCTTTTGACGTTGGTTGGACATTGATCGAGTGATCGCTGCGTCTGTGTGGCGTGAGAAAAGACAGAGATAGCCGACTTGGGCCTGCATGCGAACGAATTGCGCCTGGCGAGCGCCCAGCTCCAGCTCCTCCTGCCCCCCCTCGCCTCCCTGGCCCGGGGGCACTCGAGTGGGTCCCCACCCTTGTTCCACATGGGCACCCCTGGGCACTGCGGTTCTGGTCGTGGGTCCCGCGTCGGCCACCGTCCAGGGCCGAGATCTCCTTGAGACCTGGCCCGGTGGCACTCCTGGCGCACATCGCGGGGCATATTCATCCGTGGGAACGTGTGCACCTCCCTCTCCCCTCCTCTAAAGAGGAGGCCCGAAAGGGCCAGAAACGCAGGGCTGAACCTAAACGGTGTTTTTCGTTTTCGTTTTGTTTTCGTTTTCCCTCGTTTTGTTTTCAATCCACCTCTACAGCAAAACGAAGTCGAAACGAAAACGGCCCACGAAATCGCCCAAACACCGTTTAGGTCCAGCCCTGCGGAAACGCCCGGAGACCGCGATCTTCTGACCTCGATCCTCGTCGATCCCCGATCGCCTGCCCCTCGCCTCGACCCTTGACGATTGCCCAGAAGTGCGAAGATCTCCTGCGCTCGGCGCCCACAAAGGGCGTGGTGACGCTGGGGTGTGGTTTGCGATCTGCGTCGGCTGGGGCCTGGGGGACCAACATCACGGTGCCCTCGTCGGGCCGCCTCGGGGCGCGGCAGAGAATTGTGTCGAGGTCCTCGCCCGCCCTCCAGGGTGCGGGTTGCAAACCACACCCTTTGCAAAGCACACCCTTCGGAGTCGCTGATGCGCCTCCCTCTGGGCGCACACCGTCCAGGCTGCCCACGCCGGCGCCGCCGGCACCGGGGGCGTCGCGGGCGAGGCGGAGCTCCGTGAGCTGAGCGGGCCCCCCGCGCCGCCGTTCCCGCCGACGCCGCACATCTCCTCTGCTCTTCGGCCTCTTCCTCGCTCTCCTCCCTCTTCCGCTTTCCGCTCCTCCCTTCCTGGTTTCCTCGGCCTCTTCCTCCCCTGTTCCTCCCTCCTCTGGCCTCAGTTGCGGTGTTCGCCTGCGGTTCCTCCACCCAGTACGGCGTTTCGTGGACCCATAGGGAGCTCCGCGGAAGGCCCATGTGGCTGCTCTCGCATGCGGGACCCCCACGCTGTACAGCGTTTCGTGGCCCCATTGGGAGCTCATTCAAGGACCCTTCGTGGTCTCCAGAACCAGGTGACTACAGTCAACGTGCCTAGTACGGACGCGCGCCTTCAGCCAGGGTACCCTTGTGTCCTTGCCTCTGGGGCCCGTCCTTTGCCGTTTTCCCTGGTCGCCCGCCGCCCAAAAAGTCCAACTTCGGCCTCCAAGGGTCTTGCGTCCGTACCACCCGTCCTTCATACGCATTTTGACTGTAGTAATTTGGCATTGGTTCCACCGCCAGACAATGTCCAGATCTGTCTCGGTGTCGTGCCTTGGGCCCTCGGAGGCCCTTGGAGGAGTGGTGGGTCTGAACACCTGCGCGCTCCTGCAGGCCTGAAATTATCGGCGGATCCAGGGCAGGACGCTGGCGGCCGCGGATTCGGGCATCTCCCGGCGGTGCACTTGACGCGCCAGCGGGCCAGCGCGACACAGTGCACGCACACCGTTTTTCGACACAGTGCACGCGCACTGTTCCTTCACTACTGCTGCGAAGCATCGGCCTGTCTGCAGCTTGCGAGATGCGCCAGTCAAAACTTCAAGCGAACGTGTGCCGACGGCGCTCAAACCCATGCTGTGGAATCCCGGACTGGGGGCTGCAGTGGCTGTATGATATGCTAACTTGCTTGAAGCGCTCCAGCTAGTATGCGCCCAACAGTACACAGTGTCCGCGCGAAGTCCCACGCAGCTTGAACTAAATGGCCATTCATGGCCAGTTTCACGCGTGCACAGTTTCACGGCACGTTCGCAGTTCTCTCAACTTTCGACGCATTCGACCCCATCGGTGACCTTACGACGTGGATTCCCCCCGCTCCCACCCACACAGGGGACGACAGCATAAACGGCCTAGACGACGCCATCAAGAAGGCCAAAGCAAGAATGGAGAGCAGCTTCGCAGAGCGTATCGCGGCACCACTCGACCCCCAGGTCTCTTGGGACAAGCTGAGTGCTGCCCTCACAGACAGCATACGGAAGCTGGTTGACGACCCTACATTGGGCATCCTTCTCTACACAGTGTCCGGAGTACACCCCCACCAGTGGCACATGGGGGCCACCCCCGGGCAGCTGGGTAGCCTAGACAGGAAGGCCTGGAGTCACCTAGGGTACTGCTTAGACGTGGAAGTCAGAATCGATGCCAGTAACCTTGTGTGCAACCTCACGTGGGCGGCCCTGGTCTGGTTCCTCGGACTGGGCACACCGTGGCACGACAAGCAGCTAGGCGTCGCATATGACTCGCTCCCCCCACTGCCCCACATGGTCGGGAACAATCGCCGCCCCAAGCCCTCAAGCCGTTGCACCCCCCGGGGCACACTCCCCCAGTTTCCCGCGGCCTGGAGCAGCACCACCTGCTGGTGTAAACGCCACAGGATGCACCCGGGAATGGAGCACTTGCACTCCCTGCTCAACCCCGATAAGATCGATACAGATCTCACGCATGCCCTACTAGGAGGCGACGGGCAGCCCATCAGTCCCTCCACACTCAGAGTCCTTCTGGTGGTGATGATGCTGCAGCTGCGTGGGCCTCGCGCTACACTCTGGCCCTTCCATTCCCAGAGGCCACGGGCGACATCATGGAGGCTACGATGGGCTTGTGCCTTCCGTGGCAGGAGGCCCACAAAGAGTTCCGCGCCCAGTTCGCCGAGACGTGGGGATTCCAGCTCACGGACTTTGCCTCCCTCCACACCAAGTTAGAGCAGGTCATTCACCACATTAGCACGTTGCCCACATACGCTCATCAGCACGAGATTGCAGCGGAGCACGAATGCCCCAAGACATGGGCAGGAATGCAGGAACATGACTTCACCCTAGAAGCCCCCTTACGCGTACTGGAGGCAATAGTCCAGCCCGCGAACGTCAAGCAGCTAAGCAGCGGAGATTGCTCGATCTGCCAGTTGCACAAGGCTTTGACGGGATCAGACGTGGGGCTTGGCAGTCCACACACCATGGAGGACCTGCAGTACATAGGGGGCGGGGTTGCAATTTCCAACCACCGTCTCGACGAGGACATCCCAGCCTCCCTGGCCCCAGGAACAACATTGTCCCCCCCCCGATCGTTGGTGGCGACCGCTTCTGCAGGCTGCAGAAGGACGCCACCTACGACTGCGACGGATGCACCAACACAGGACTGCATGGAGCAGCAGGTGCTTGGGGGGATGACGACACCCGGGCACTGCCAGCCCAGAACCGAGCTCAGGCGCACACAGAGGGCAGGAACTGCAGGTGGCTCTGCGAGCAATGCTGGGTCAGCCCCCTCGAAAGCAAGGGGATGCACGTCCCCGTGCCCAGCTCAACGGAGCGCAGTACCAAGAAGTCCATGCAGTGGCTACTACAGGAGTACAAGCGCAGAGTGGACGACGACCGTGCCCGCAAGAGAGCCAGGACTCTCCCCTCTCTGTCCAGACAACCGCTGGGCGTCGGGCAGCCTACCGACGCCCCAGCCCCAACCTCCCTGAAGAACCTCGTCATGCGCACGCCGCGCCAGTTCCAACCAGCCAGCGCAGGCAGCGCACTCCCACCACACAGGCTCACCGACGGCAGGGTCGGCACCGAAGTGCACCTCACCCAACTGTACTCGGCCACTTGTGACACCTGTCCCACAGGTTCCCCCTTGCTAGAGTGGTCGCCGGGCTCGCCAGCCCTTGGCTGCTTCGTATGGCGCCCAGAGGCAGACGCAGACTGCGACGAGCAGACAGGCCTCCCACCGTGGGAAGCAATGCCCCTGCTGTGGACCAAGAGGAAGTGGAACGCCGGCTGGGCATGCAGGAGGTGCCCAGTTCACATCTGGGACATCGCCCCAAGTGCCTTCGATCGGATACTTGGCCAGTGCTCCTGCGAGATATACCCAGCCCCCCCGACGAAGAGGCCGGCCATGAACGATATCACAGAGGAATGGTGCATCTATGACATGTCCGCGCACCTTTCCACAACCAGCCGCGCGCCAGCCGCGGGCCCTGACGCGCCAACTCCAACAGGCGACGGCCGGTTAACACAGCCCCCCGCCGGACAGCCACAAGGGGCCCCTGCCGGAGGTGCCACCTTCAGCTACTCGCTTCCCGACCTACCACCGCCCGCTGCGCCGTCGCTCCCCACGCACTCCACCCACCGTCTGGCAGGAGATGAGTCGAGAGGCCCTGTCCGCGCGTTGGTAAAATACCTGATCGAGTGGAACCACGCCATCTACACCATCTGGGCAGCCCGCGCGCAGCGCTCGGGAAGAGACATTGTGGGCGAGGTAACCGACGAATCGGGGTGGCCCCTCGAACATCTGGTGCCCTTTCTGGCAACTATCTACGGGGATGAGATACCCAGCAACCGCCATCCCCCGCGCATCCCCTGGGGCGGACAGAGGGCCGCGGTTGCCAGGGTCGTCGCACACCTAGTGGAGGGCAACCTGAAGTACCAGGAGGAATGGAAGTGCTTCGCAGACAAGCTCGACAATCAGAAAGGACTGTGCCCCCACCGAAACTCTTTCTCTCAGGGGTGGAGGACGACCTATCAGGAGGAACGATAGAGCTCCTCGCCGGCCAGCCCAAGGTGGCAAAGACCAGTGGCACTGATAAAGGAGGTTCCCCCGCATCCATTTGGTTCAACACGCCCCAGGAGGAACTGCCTGGCCCTACCTCTCAACACGCATGTGGCCACGCGCCCCCCCCAGCTACCCGTCGCACCAGGTCAGTCCGACGGGTGCGCAGGAGACGCGCCGTCCCCATGCAAGTGCGGAAGCGGCGGCGGCGAGTATGAAGGGATCGACTGGGATGAGTCTAACAAGGGATCTGAACCGGACGGCCAGGCGCACGGAAGCCGACCAGACATCTCCGACTCCGAGGTGCAGGCCAGCCCCGCACACCAGGTAGATGATGCCGACATTCCGGGACCGAACAAGCGTGAGCCCGCCCGAAGTACTCCCCCCCCTGTGGTCCCAACCTCCCTGAGGGTCGACTCGCGCACCTGGTCCCCGCGTGCGCGGGCCTTCGCAGGCGCGGTCAGTGACGGCAGGAGGCTCAGGCTAACGGAGATGACAACAGACCGCCGACCTCCCACTATTCCCGAATCTACCTCCATAGGTCGCTCTTTCCCTCTGCCCCGCAGCTCGCCCAGGCAACAGCGCAGCGCGGGGCGGGGGCGCGACGCACAGTCATCAACAATCCCACCAGCGCGCCCGGATGACCCCATGGGTGGTCTCCCCATGTACTTGCGGCCCACCAATGATGCAAATGTCACAGAGGACGAGCCAGCGCCGGAAAATATCATGAGGTTGCAGAAGACGCTGGGAGGTGTTTTCAACGGAGTATGGAGTGCCTGGGTCCGTAAGGCAGGAACCAAGCAAGGGAGCGCATGGGTCAACATCAAGTCCGACCCCAGGAAGAATACGGCGCAGTGCGACGACTTCCTCCAGGCATGGAGCAAAGCAGGCTACGATGCCTACAGGATGGACAAGGAGTACCAGCTCCAGGTTGAATGGCCAAACATCATGGACAAGCAGCGCAGGCTCATGCAGCGCGACACGAAAACCCATGCCCCCGAAGGGCCCATCGGAGGCGGTCGCTGGAACCCATGGGCCGACGAGGACAATGGCGCTTCCAGCGCCCCCCCGCTGCCCGCCGACGACGCAGGCAGCCGCCTTGGGAGGGCCTATCGGAGGCGGACGCTGGAACCCGTGGGCGAACGAGGGCAAAGAGGCTACATGGCCCCCCCCGCTGTGCACCGACTACAGAGT